AGACTCCGTAATGGTTTTCAAGGTGAGAAAATAAATGTTTATCGTTATGTAAAACACGTCTTCATTTTCTTTGGTTCTTTCGGTAAAGTCACGTAGAATCGAAATTTAACGTCTTCATTTGATCGTTGATGTTGAGGCAATAGCATCACGCAGCTATGGGGGTTTAACTGCAGCTCGCGACCTTGACTACCATTACAATCATACCTTATCTACATTCAGGCTGGTGAAGGCAATAGAGAATAATCACAATCAATTCTTCGCGTATACGTAAACGCAAGCGCACCCAGGTGAAGCCGTTGTGCTCTCTCAATGCCACGTTTTTTTTTAAATGACGGCACCCCCGTGAGAGTCGTTGATTTACGAAACGAACGGCAATATTAGTTTGAAAGGTCTGAAAGAGATCGACTTTCGGGGCAATTAGCGACTTCTGAGCTTCGTCCTCGCATCCGTTGTGCTTGGAAACATGAATCCAGCGGCTGGCAGGAAAAACGTCATTAACTGCTCTCAATTTTGCATAATGCCTTCCTTGAATGTGTTTTTTTTTTTTAAAAGGTACTTTTTCACAATTATTGCCCTCGCCGTTCATTTTCACACAAACAAAATAAATCTGCGAGCATTAATGAGGTGATTAAGCCCATTGCGTAACTATTAGTCACGACTGCACAATAAAGATAAATGGATTGGTCCACCGTTTTTGGAAATTAAAGTTCATTTGGGATAGTTCCCCGAATGTGGTCATATTATTCAACGCAGCACCAACAGATGTGGTTCTTTATTAAAACCAAGCCAGGTGCACTGCTACACCAAACCTGGAACTCAACAAGTCTTTCTACATTTGTTTAATTACATTTGCCATGAATGCAGAAGGGTTAATGGCTGTGCATTTTAATTTTTAATCACCTTCCTCGTAAGTGCAATTTGTTCAAATGTATATACCTGCTCCATGCTTGTAATTTTTTTCGTAGCAATTGGAAAAGTTGTAGAATTGAATATTATTTTACACGAGCTACACAAAACAAAAATGGAAATTCAAATAGTAATTATTATAATCGTAAGTCAAGGATGTATTCTGCTTCTAAGCCCTGCTCTAACGAGTTTCACGGGGTGCTCATCTCTGTCGGCAGGCCTGAAGCCAGGGGTGGAAATCTCACATTCCTACCGGTGGGACAAACACTGGTGATGTCCAACAAACATAGGACTCATTTAATCAACCGTTGAGGGATGATGGGCTGAGTTCTATGTATGGACGTGTATGTTGAACTTATTTCTCATCGTACGTAGCCAACCGTGATAATCGGGGTTTATGACCATTCCCGATTTTTTTTTGAGTCGCAACATTCTGATTGTGTGAGTCAAGTGCCCTCATTGCATTGCCCCCAAAAACCATGCGTGTTGGTGCTGTCATTTTATAACACTGCATTCTGTTTTATTTTACTTCAATTACTGAATAATTAAGTTGAGTACGTGTAAATTATCTCAAAGCCGGGCTCATTTGGGTGCGAGCCTATGCAGTAATGGGTGCCGTCTGGCATACAGCAAATAAAATAGAAATAATAAAACCACATTTTCATTACATTTACATATAATTAACTCGTAAAATATTGACTGAACACTGAAAACCATTTATAGCAATACCTGCATACCTATGATTTAATATTCACAATTTCATAAAAAACTAAATCGTCACTGTAAAGTGACTACCTATGATTGAACACTGAAACCAATTAATATCAACACCTGCATACTTTTAATTTAATATTTACAATTTCATAATGCACAAAATCGTCACTGGAATGTGACTTCCCGTGAAGCAGGGTTGGGAAGGCTGAGCTCCGCTGGATGTGTACGGCTTAAGAGATTTCCTGATGGGCTTGAAGAGTGAATTTTGTTTATTCGTGAAATAAGTGCGACTCTTGCAAATGCGACTTATCCCCCAGTCTCTTGTGTTTTCACTCAGTTAAACAAAGATCAACTCACAGCATGTACGTGGATGACCGAGGCCTCCAAGGGCTTGGGATCATCACGTTTCATACGCCAGATAAAATAAAGCTCTTCATATATACCCGAACCATATCCTACTTGCACGGTGGCTAGCTTCAGTGCGAACGACGCTCTAGTTCGAGGGGTTTTAGATTCATGTTTAATTAATTAGTAACGCTGAACCGATTCCGGACGGGACAAGGTCGTCCGATGGGGTCAGGCTACTGACCCAACCTGCAGCTGTGGAGCACCACAGACGATGTCACACATTGTGAACGACTGTCCACTAACATGTTTTGACGGTGGACTAATGGCGCTTCACCGTGCTGAAGACGATGATGTTCGTTGGCTCGGCACACAGTGCAAACGCGAATAATAATTAATTAGTTTGGGTAGCCTTCCTGCTTACTTGCAATTCTGGATTTTAATTTAATCCATGTTAGAGAGGTTTTAGTGTGTCCTCTGCTATAATTCAATTAACACAAACCCATTGTCATGACCAAATATCGCTGTGTAGTGTGCATGCACCCTCCTAAAATGTTTTGCTCGTACTGTATTTTAATGACTATTTAATGCATCAATACCATTATAACAACAATGCAAACAAAGCTAAAATAAATTTGCTCTGAATTTGAACAAAGACATTTAATTGGTCCAGTCAATTGAATAAACATGCTTTGGAAATCGGTTTTTGGGTTAGATCGCGTAAATATATAAATGTGTCGATAAAACCCGCCAACTAATTGGCTGTGTCGGGTGGTGGCGGGTTTTAACGACACATTTATATTGACGCGATCTCACCAAAAAACATCTGTTATGCATGATATTGGTCTCGAAAGCCTCCTACTACGTGTTTAAATGCGTTGGAAACGCTTGCGCATGGGGAAGTTTCTGATTCAAACCAAAATATGCAAATGCGCCGTGCGTATTTAGCATTTTTACGGAATAATTCACTTGCGCGTGTAGGCGACCTACAGGGAAAATAAATTGGTTTATAAATTATTCAGATTTTTTTTTTAACGGACCATTTTGCCCGTGAAACTTACCTTGTGACCACTGCATTTCAGATATTAAGCCCTAAAGATTTCACAATTATCTCCTAAAACCTTAACCTTTCGACCACAGGTATGGCCTGTGCTTCTTTAATGATTTACATTTAAATCAGCGTATACAGTACAGTATATGTATATATGTCCTCTAATTAAAAGATACACAGAGGTAGATGTACATTGTAAAACTGAGGTGCACAGCCAGAAAAACAAATTCTGCCTTCTTTAGCATCATAATATATAATAATTTACTTATTTATCCCGGACTGCCACAGCGAGCCATATGAACCCCCAATACCTTGCTGATCTCGTCAAGAAGCATAAACCATCATCACGTGAACCAGGGGCGGAGCCAGGGGGGGGGGGGGTGACGGGGGTGACATTCTGCGTGTAAGTGTACGACATTCGGTCTGGCGGACTCCCTGCAACTGCATTGTCAGAGTGTGTCGCCAACCGATGGCGTCTAGTTCAACAGCCTGACTCTCTCTAAATCATTCTTGAAATTAACATTTGTTGAATGTCACCCCGGCCTGACATCCTGGCTCCGCCCCCGACGTGAACTCGGCTGGCCGTCTAATAACGACGGTGACCGCATCGCGCTCCTTCGGACGTGCTTCTGTGGCCCTCAGAAACTCTCTGCCTTCCGATATTAGGAAGCCGCCGTAGCTACGCACTTTTAAATCCGGATTTGAAAGCGAATTTATTTAGAACTGCTTTTTGTGTTTAGTTGGTTGTCCTTCCGCCCACACCTCCGATGAGCATGGTTGGCTACGTACGGTGTAAAATAAGTTCAACGTACATACATACAAGTGTGAGGAGCACCGGGATAAAACCAAAGTGGGCAAGAGGGCAACGCTTGATCCCTGTACAGGTTGAAACAGATGTAGATAAGTTCAATTGCTGTACCGGGATACACCAAGCCTCACCACCTCTAACAGTGCTGGATTACAAGCCACGTGCATAACAGCCACTGCTGGGCTTAGTGAAAAATACTTCAATATAAGTTGATTATATTCAAGTGAGTACATGGCCACATTGATAGAGGATATCCAATGTGGAATGCTCGATTGAGTGCAGAGTGGAAACAAAGATATATAAACAGCGTTCCATTGCCACAGGCGTCAGTATTAAAAATAGAACAAGCCTTGTGTGGCAATTGCTAATGCTGCAGAATCCAATAAAGCATCTGCAGTTGAAGTACGGTACACTTACGCTCAGGTATAGGCTACAAGAACAGACCGAACTGCATTGTAATCCGATCAACTAATGACACTTGGGTAATGCAAGCCGCATGTGTTTCCAGACTCGATCAAATATAATGTATTCACTCGGCACGTAACTTGTGAATTGATTAAAATATATTCTTATGCTCATGATGCGTCCATTGAATCGTGCGTTGGATAATTATTAATTGCATATGCTCCTCACATCCAGATAAGTAAAGACAAATGTGGGCATAATGAGAGACAATCCCAACGAGACGGCAAAAAAGTAACATTTCACTCGAATCTAATCGTGATAAATCTTCAACACGATTCATGCACTGTAAACAAATGTATACACGCAGCACGGTCAAATAATTGCTGTTTATAAAGCATCCTATTATGACAAGCACTTATGTTCAGGCCATATGTCGAAAACAAAGACAGCCGAGGGTGTATTTTTTTAAAATTATATTTTCACCAGCGACCGTAAAACTTTTGTAAAGGTTTTCATTAAATAGATATGGATTTTAAGTGGTCTCCTAAACTTTCAATTCAGTGTAATAATTGATATATTTATAAGAAAGAATACCTTTCCACCCGAAGTGGAAAATGGAATTTTCAGGAAAAAGATTTTAAAAAACGAATAGTTGTTGCATTCAATGAAGTATGTGCCCAGAATACATTATTCACGGCTTAATGGCTCAGCAAATGGATGCGTTACTGTCAGCACAAAAGGTTCCGCATATTAAATGCCCACTTGACTTACCGATGTTATCCTTGGCGATGTACATGTCGCTGAAGAGCTTAATTCCCGAGCCCACCACGTGAACGAAGTCTTCCACCAGCTGCATGAGCTCCAGCACAGCCGGAGGATTCTGCGGGCAGCAAAGAGACGCCGTTGCCCCTCTCTCATGCACAGCGGCCGGCTCACAAAGGAGAACAGCACTGCTGAACGCTCTGCCCTAACGGAATGGTGCCCTATTAAAATGGTGCCCGCTGGAATAATGCATGCTCTAGACCAGTGATTCACAGTGGTTCCCAGTGGTCCACGGAGTACTGATTGTTTGTCCCCGCAAGGCCATACGTAGGCATTGGTCTGTAGATCCGTCGGCAATACAATATTTTTTTTCACGAAACGTCGTATATCTTTGACCGCATGCCTACTCCCGTCGCAAATGGACAACTGTTGTCATTGTTGTCACGGTGGTGTTCGCGCCGTCGGAATCGTCACGCAGCCGACCCCTGGCCGTCGTGCGCTAGCGCGGCAGGCACGGGACACTGCACGTGCATCGCGCAACTCCCAAAGCCATCGAACGGGCTCGCCGGACTCTTGGCGTCCGGTTAAAAAATGGTTTCGTGAAGTTCCCTCTCAAATGCCCAAACGAAAAAGGAGAGGCTGTTGAAGGTTTGCAGTGGTCCACGTGTCCAGAAAGGTGGGGAGCGACTGGCTTAGACTTGCATAAGAAAAATGTGCCGCAGTTGTCCGTGAAATGTGCTACAGTTCTTGCAATTTAGCTTTGACTCAACCTTCGCAATGTCTTGCTCAAATGAGCGCTGGGAGCAGTGCTCGACTCCTCTTTAGAGCCCTGAGCCTGTGGTGGAAATTCCACATTCCATTGCCAAGGATGAGTCTATCCACTGTTGAATGCCTCCACGAAGCGGAACTCCATTTAATTGATCCCAGAAAGGATGATGGAATCCGGATTTGATCTCCCAACCTTTTGTCATTCGCGAGTCACTCGCTCAACCACTGAGCCACCTTGCCAGACACGACTGTCAGCTGTGCAGGTCAATGGCAATTTGATGTTCAAAGCTTACAAGTGCCTCCAATAAGTTGGCTCAGCCAAAAATGAGCGCCGTTCGCTGTGTGTGTTCGCAACGGAGGCACAAAAGCAGCTGGGTGTACACGGTGCTACCCTTAATGAGTACTCACTAACAGCACTTGCTTAAGAGTCTATCAGCCTAAACTAGAGCAACGTTGTCTTTATATATGTCCTGCCCTTGGGTAAATTGATGTGAAGTGTGTTGCTTTCCCACCCTTCTGTGGCTATAAAACAAAACAAAGCTCCCCCGTATAGCTTGAACAGTCTGTTGGGGAAAGTGCTGTTAGCGAGCACCTATGAAGGCTGGTACAGCACACGACGGGGTGGGTGGCCAGCACCTTTGTCTCTCTAATGTTTATGTTGACACACCGCACCAGGTACTCATTTTAGGCTGAGTCGATCTATGGTAGGCCCAGGACCGGTTCAGATAATCGTTACCGGTGTTGGCCATGAGCGGGAATCGAACTCGGATGGCCGGATTCATAGGGCGCTAACCACTACACTATATATACATATATAGACACACACATGATTCGAATTAAAAAGCACATGTGGAAATTGTCATTATCAGCAACATCAGCCACTATTTATCCACTGCTGGATGACGTTTGCCCCACACCATGATCATCCCTCGTGATCCTGGAATCCCACAATCCACCTCACTCCTGCACATGAACCAATTTCATTGCACCATCTGCCTGGTGGTTGCTCTTTCATTCTTTTGGCTTCCATTCCTTCACCAGCCTCATGCATTAGCCAGCATCCCTTCAAGCGATGTCTAATGCCCAAGCCCACTCACTTTTCTCAATATTCAATGCAATCTTCTCCAATTTTTGCTTTGTTCACTGAACCACCGTACGTCTCTCTCTGCGTCTCTTCGTGTAATTCAAAGCGTGCATCATTCCATGCTACTATGCGCACTCTTCAGATCCTGTTCAATTCTCTCTGTGCCAGTGTCTATGTTTCCGATGCGTATGTCGTTTCGTTTAATCAACAATGAAAGGAAAACTTTCTTCTTCGGAGACATTGGGAATGTAGGTTGAAAGATCAAATAATAAAAAAAATGTTATCTGGGTTTTTTTTTTGCTCAATGGGCACTTCTTAAAACAAGCAAGGAAAGGAGGCTAATTTTTTCAAACTTCTGCTTATGAAGCACCAAGAATTAATCATATTCTATGCATAGGCGTATTTTATTTTTGTTGCTGTACCCTTCGTTAAATCGAGAGTTGAAACACATGCATTGAAACACATGAAACATTGCCTGTTTTGCAAGGGCGACTTGGCTCGGAATTTTATGTTTATACATAAATATTTGTTAAAGATACCACCGAAAATACAATATATTGGGCGAACGCAAATAAAGAAGCCTAAAAGCAGAGGCCCCAATTTTGTGGCAGAAATAGCACTAAAATCTTGAACAGTTTCCCATTCAAGTGGAAAGAACATGCTCTCTGTTGCAGGATAGTACATGACCAACAATTTAAAATGTCTCATTTAATACATAAGATGATGTTCAATTAGCACTCTCTGTTCTCTCACCATGTCTCACTGTGTGGTGTAAGGATACGTCCTGAAATACACGGAAGATGCATTTCTCATAAAGGTGTTGGAATAACGCAGCCCATGAGAATGCTCAACGAGAAATAAGATTAATGGCTTTTAACGTACCGTTGGCATGTCTTCCCACTTAGGTCTGTTTTCGTCCGAAAGCAAATTGCTCACAATCTCCAAGAAATTCTGTAGTGGAGGTGGGCGGGAGAAATAAAATGCACGAAAATTTATTTCAATTCAGACAGTCGATTGTTCCAGGTTTCCCATGCGCATTCGTATGAACTACAGCAAAGCCATGCACGAACGGGGGAATCGCACGAAATACAATCTGGACACGGACACAGCATGGTTTATTTTCTACATCGGTAACAAGGCGATAGCCCCGAGATGGGCGTGTTTTTTGCACGTCGTCCCCGAAATAGAACATTCCACCATTTTAACCAAGATAACTTTGAAATTAATATTTGGATTGCATATTCATCACGAACGAAAGCCATACAAAGAGAGGAAGCTGCCGTATTCTCCCGCCATATTACGACGTGAAGCAAATTATTTTTTTGAGAGTGGGAACATCAGTGGGCGCAGGACACCACCGGCACACGGACGACAAAAGAATCGCTTATCATGCCGGTGGAAGCAGAATGCCCTTTGAACCGAACATTACAAAGTTCAAGATGCCACCTCTCTCCTTTTCAGGAACGCAGGCCACCCAAAAATTATATGGATAGAATGGAGCCACATTGGGCACGATCTTAAGAGTGTTCACGCTCCCTTCAGAATGCATGAAAGTGCGCTGAGTTAAAGTGTGTGTGCAGTGTGCGCGTGTGTGGGGAGCGATAGTGGAGCGGTTAGCGCACAGCGCTACGGATTCGTCGAACTGCGTAAAATTCCCGCTCATGGCCAACACCAGTGATGATTATCTGAAACCAGTGACCATTATCTGAACCGGTCCTGGGCCTCACCTAGGTCGATTCAGCCTCAAATGAGTACCTAGTGGGGTGTGTAAACATTGCCACTGGGGAGACAAAGGCCATCGGGCGTGATGCTGGCCACCCACCACTTCATGTGATGTGCCGGGCTTCATAGGTGCTCACTAACAGCACTTGCCCAACAGTATATTACAGGCTACTTGGGAGGATGGTCTTTGCCTTTATGTACGTGCCTGAATGTCCTCGCTGGTTGGGTCGCGAGAAACCCGGCGGGCCTCGTGCGTGAAGTTGCGCAGAACCTCAATGCAGGCCAGCAGGTCGCCGCTGTACAGCAACCGAGTCTGCGAGGTGCTCGCCAGGTTGCCCAAGACCGCAGCCATGCCCTCTGCAGTGGCCTGTCCCACCGCCAGCTGGTCCCTCATCTAACAACGATCACACACACAAGCCCACGTTCGTTATCAGCGTGGGCGAAACGTGACCTACGTACAGCTTTGGTTACAATATTCAACTCGCAGTTATAAGGTCACGAGTTAAACGTCGTGACGTCACTGGGCCATGGATTGGCTGATCCCCACCCTGTGAATGTGGAATTTTCACCATTGATGCTGGGCTAATGAAGATAAGTGCCACCCCATTGCTTGTTTGAACAGAGGGGAGTGAGAATTGATTAATTACCTGGTTCAAAAGTTTCAAGTGTGAATTGGCATTGATAGAATCTAAGATACAATCGGAGAGCAATTCTGGGGATCTGGTAGCGCAGTGGTTCGAGCACTGCGCTATGAGGCCAGTGACTTGAGATTGATTCCCAGCCATGGCTAACATCAGCGGCGAGTGATATCCAAACTGGTCCTGGTTATCTCTCCCCTTTCAGCAACGATCATTGTGAAGTCCGATCAACAAACCCACGTGACCATCACAGCATAGGGAGACGTTCATTCAGAAGTGAATTGGCCTGAAAATGGCGATAATTATTCGCACAGTACGGAACATAATGTCAGGTTCCCTAGACTCAGCTCATTTGCCCGAGTGGCAAAAGGTTAAAAAGGAAAAGCCCTCAAATTGCTCCCTCATTCTACTGCTGGCAGAAGGGCCATCGCTAGAGAGAGTGCTAGGCAGCCCCTTCACTCGATCGAGCGGGACGTCAATTATATGCCACGCACAAATGTGATTCTGAAAATGATCATCACGTCACAGCGAGCACAGATTTATCCAAACCGAGCAAAAAACACTGCACATTCATCTCCAGTTAAAGAAAGGGCGGACAACAAAGCCTGCCCCAATAAAGTTGTATAAACAGAGTTTATTTATACGTACATCACCTGCCAGTTCATGAGCAGGAGTGAGATGGATCGTGGCAATGGATGATGGTGAGGGTTGGCAATGGTGTGAGGTCACCAGCCAGCAGTGGATAAATAATGGGTGTAATAATCATGATATCAATTGTCATCATGATTTTCAATGAAGTGGCTCTCGAGTGAAGATTCTCTGAGTCCATATTGATATTTTGATCGTGTGTTTTACTCATGCATTTTATTCAGACGTTAATTAAAAACCATTTTTTATGAGGAGCTGTTGATTTGCAATGATTGCCGCTCAGGGTCTTTAAGTCCGCGGCCATTTAAATAAGAAATAAAAAATAACATTTCATCATATGCACCAAAACAATACAACGTAACTTCGTGAAGAATATCAACTTGACCATATATAGGCTCTTGCAAAAACAATACATTAGCATTTTGAGATTGTGAAGAAGAGCAAGGCATGATGTTTTATATGGTGAATGAGGGATGCATCGCGACAGAGCAGAATTTAATCCTGATCAAGACAATGGATGGATACGGTCATATGCATGAACACATGCCTTTGGAGTATTTGGTTGCAAAACATTCCCACACGACAAGCCACTTTGCTGAGCTATCATTTGTGGCCTGGTCACTTCTGAAATGGGCCTCACCTGGTAAAAATAAAAAAAATTGTTTGGTTTATAAATAGATGACAAGAGGAGAGGACAGTCTTAATGCTTGCGGTTAGATACTTGGAGGGCATGAAGAGAGATTTCCAGACCGTGGGAGCAGCAGCGGAGAAAGAGCGACCTCCGACTAAGAACGTCGTCAGAATCGAATCAGCTCAAACGTGACACGCGTTGTCATTTGCGAATTGCAAAAATAACACGGACGCATTTTCAACATTATTTCGGTGGTTCCTCCGGGATCATCCAACACAGTCCTTGGGGTGCAGCGCGTAAACAAGGCGACAACGTCACTGAAGCAAGGCCCATGCCCGAGAGGCCAGAAGAAGCAGAGCGCGAACGTCGCAGGGTCGCAGTCCACCGCCTCTCACCAACTGCAGCGCATTGCGGACGTCGTGGGAGACGCATCTGATGAAGCTTAGCTTTTCCCACGAGGCCACTCCATCGGAATTCAGCGAGCACTGCCGTATCACCACTCCTGTTCATTAGCCGGGGGGCGACAGCAATTAATATTATACAGGGGTAGCAGCATTAGGCTGCGTCAAGCCGGTATGTGCCGAGGCACTGGCTTTGTTTCGCTTAATTTCCTGTTCTGTGGCTCATTTTCAGCTGTTAACGTCTTCCCACAACCGGCAGCGAACTACACATTTTTAAAGGATGGTGCCTTGGAGTTCTTGTATCGTCCTACCTGATGGACACTGTGGTTTAAACGTTCTCTCTTCAAAGGTCAACTTACTTTCTCGGGTGCATTCTCAAAAATGGAATTGGGCTTCTGGAAGAGGAACGCTTTTTAGTGGGGTGCGTGTACTCTCCCTGGCATGTTCTCTGCCGTCTCTAAATGACCCAACGAAACGTAATAAGGCAACTTTGAGGGGAACATTTCCCCACAAGCACTTACACAGCTCACCAGGCATTGGCCGAGAGATCAGGCTGAGCAATAGAGAGGTGGAATTCTGAGCACTGCATTCACGAGGTTGGTAAGTGAGAGACGTTGGTTATCTAGTGCTTTTAATATTTAACATACCATAGTTTATATTCTTGGTTCTTTCTGTAGAGTCACTAGAAGGGAAATAATAAAATAATAAAAATATAAACAATAAAATTCTCACGACGTGTCGACTGCAACACAAGCAATCATGGAACACCTGATGATGATTGCTTGTGTTGCAATCGAAACGTCGTGAGAATTTTATCGTTGTATATTTTTATTATTATTATATTATTTCCCTTCCACGTGACTTTACCGAAAGAACCAAGAATATGAATCCCTGCAGTCACGAAAGCTTTAAATCGAAATATACCCTTGTTTGTAAGGAGATCAACTTAATTTTTAAACCAATTTTTTTTATAACGCATCACCACAAAACACGGCGTAATGTTTTAAAAGATACCGTCATTTAACAATTTAACACCTCACATACTTTCTGATGCTCGTACTTTATAAATAATATATTCATATGGATCTTTGAGACCGGGTAAACTCTAAGCTGAAAAAGCATTTTAATGTTGCTGCAATTGATCTCGCTTCAATAAAAGTTGTCAATATTTGACCACGTAGGAGTGCCAGACTCACAAGCAAAAGCTGCAGGTTCACATCTCAGGTAAGGTTCGACTATGCCCATTATCTCTCCAGAATAAATGTTTTTCTCTCTCTAATTGTATCCCGATTGTAATGTCGCCAATAATATATATTGTTTTAAGGCAATTACCCTTCTTCACGGGGACATGAAACGATACCTGTTCTTTGAAGAATGGCCATTGCCGGAAATGTTGCCTATTCCATATTTTGATGTTAATGCCGCTATATTATTGACGGATGTGTGTCGAGTTCTTTTTTTTTGCATCAGAGTACACTACAATAGTAAGTAAAAAGAAGTGGAAGAGTCCGCAGGCAATGGTGATTAATCTTATTAAACGATAACGAACGAAAGCATGTTCGGAATTATACGCCGTCACATCCCTGATGTGAGAAACAAATACATTATAAATAATGAACCATATGTAAGAGCGGCTGTGAATGCTGCGGAGAGAATGACGTGTGGCAGTGGCAAGACATCCCTTTGTGGCGTGGGATGTGAAATAAGTGAACAATTCACAATAAGTCACTCAAATGGTCTTTAGGGACTTCAACAAATTTCAAACGGTAAAAATCCATTCCCCCCCATCAGTCATTTTTTTGGGTAAATGAATGCATGCAGTGTCTGTATAAATCTTAAGCAAGAGGTCGTCGATATCACAATCGGGTCGCATTTGAGAATAAACGTTACATTGCACTCTAGAAAGGCAGTGAGAAAAAATGTACACGCACGTACTGTATTATGCCCCAAAACAGATCCAATATAAAAGTGATTTAAAATTAATTTGGACGAAAACCAAAGGGCACCAATTTTCAAACCAATAAAAGAAAGTGGATTTTACAACAAGCAGAAACCTTGAAATAAAACCAACTTCTATAGATATTTAACTCTTAGAACACTCCGAAATGTCAAAGGAAATTAAGTGACTTTTGAAAAAAATTGCATTAATGTTTTGCGAGGTACAATATAAACATTTTTAATGCCTGTACACTGCTACATAGCATGCAAATATCATTTTGGGTATTGAATCATACATATCCAGATTGTCTAAAGGTTATCTGTTATATGTACTGTATGTCATATATACATTGTTTAAAAATATATATCAAACAAATATTTCCATACACATTTTGGAGGAGGGTTTATGACACACTAATTTAATGTGACCCAATTTTTGTCGTTGTCACGAATCATAATATCTGTCGTGAAAGCCCACGTGTTAAATCTACACGTTAGTTTACGTCAAATCGTAAACATCCTATTTCTTGCATGTTACACGCATCGTGCACCACCTGAGCATCGACATCAATCGATGAACTTATGCAACGGGTGCATACCTAGAAATCGCCACCAAGGAGACAGAGTAACAACAACAGCAACAACCACAACGGCCAAGGTAAGTGTTCGCGGTAATGGGTGATAGGTGGCGAGCGTGTGGCCACTGGGCGTGCTGCCCACGGACTCACCTGTGGCGTCAGTGGGGCAGCGGTTGGTGGCCACGTTGGTGGCAGCGGTTTTCTGCCACGTGACGGAGCCCAGCTGCTCTTGGCGGCAAATTTCGTGAGGAGCTGCGAAGGCAATAGGGGGATAATACTCACGATGACGATGATTGTTTATGTTTTCTTTGGTTCTTTCGGTAAAAGTAACCACGACGTTTCGATCACAACGCAAGCGGTCGTCATCAGGAAAAGGGGGTTAGCCTCTAAAGGTAAACTGTTTATAGAGGTTTAAAATGGGCGCAGCCCAAGTGTCAGCAGCATGGGCGGGGCAGCTTATGTTAATGTAGGTGGTGGGCAGCGACGGCGCCGGTGGTGGGTTTCCACCAATTAAAGGGCTGCCAGGTAAAAATTAGCATGTTAATGTAAGATCGGTGAGCAGCCTCCACGGCGAGCGCGCTGAGGTGGCTATGTTAATGTGAGAGATTAGCATGTTAATGTAAGATTGCAGAGCCACTGCCGAGTCGAGGTCGGCGTGCGGAGGTGGCTGTGTTGGTGTGAGAAATTTAACCTGTTAATGGAAAATCGGAGAGCCAAAAATAACTAACATCGGAAGGTGGAAGGATGGGAACATCACAGCCAGTTATGACTTAAACTGTTTGATCACATCCTTCCAATGATTGCTAAGTTTGTACCCATCCTCTCGGTTGAAATTGTGTCTGTGTCTTTATATATGGATGGCTTCATGAACGAATCTTTCTTGATAGCTAGTGGGCTTGCAAAGTACCTTCGTCTTAGAGAAATCAATTTTGTGTGAGCCCACCGCATTTAAACAATGATCAGCCACGGCCGAGGAATTGGTCCTACCATGTTTCAGATCTGCCTTATGTTCACGAACATGGTCCGTGACAAATGGGCGTAGCCATATGTTCACAAACACGGTCCGAGACATGTCGCCGTGGAGGCAACATCGTTGAACATCACCAGTGCCATCGTTGAACATCACTTACATTAACATTAGCTGCCCCACCCATGCTGCTGACATTTGGGCTACGCCCATTTCACACCTTCATGAACAGTTTGCCTTGAGAGGCTAACCCCCTTTTCCTGATGATGACCGCTTGTGTTGCGATCGAAACGTCGTGGTTTTAATTATTATAATATTTTTGTTATATCTACGTGACTTTACCGAAAGAACCAAAGAATATGAATTCCTGCAGTCGCGAAAGTTTTAAGTCAAAATGTATAAAGTTATCAAAGAAAACCACATTTGAATCCAAGGACTGTTTTTTTAGGAGGGTCCTGTGTTAAGGTTTTCATAGGACAAGACAGACACGGGGTGGGAAGGTGTGAAGGCCATTACTAAATATTACTGTCTTATAGCAGTGTAGCCCTGGGAGGTTTAATTAAACTTGTCACGATGAAAACAACTGTATTCAGAAATTATTAATTGAGTTATGCAGCCATTCAATTAAAATCACGCTGGCAAATATGTTTGAAGGACCAATAACATGGAAAATGTCAAAAACAATTACTCAATTGTGTCAATGTGACCGAATATCTAACCAAACTTTAAATATCAGTGCCTCCCTCCTCATGCGGAATTTCCAGCACTGTCTCAGTGGAATTTACAGCACTGTCTTAGTGCTGGAAATTCCACATTCCCATGGTGAACTCCAGACTTTAATGAAGACAATAACAATTGACTTGTGTTACTTATATTATCCAACCGAGAGGAACATGGGATCGTATGTACACCAGACTAGGATTTGCACTCTCAATTGAATTGTGAGTAAAATGTTATCACCCAGCACAGTATATACTACACATACTACAAATCTAATGGTATGGCACATGGCATTTTTATACACGTGTAAATCGCCGCAAAATAAATAAGTAGGGAAACTAATCGATTATGCACGGATTGTCAAATTGACTTCATGTTACAAAGAAAGTTCAGTGATTGCAAGTTTTCCATGACGGACTGGCTCTGTGCTTGAACTTCTTCTCTCCTACGGCAGGATGGAAAAGTAAGCGTGTTGAAACACGTTGTAGGTGAACGCAAAGTTTGTTCAACCAATCCATGGAGGCAGTAGGCGCAGCGTGGATCGCAGCGAGCACAGCCAGTTCGTCAGGGATGCGTTTGATGGTTTGCACTTCACCACATTTGCAGGTCAGCGATTCTGTGATCGTCCGTTTGTGGATGGCGTACGCGTGTCTCCCACACTGCATTTCCGCATGGCTTAGCGAGGTCCGCGGTTGTCGTGGGAGATAGAAGCCTAGTGCTTCCACATAGCCTTAAATTTACTCATGAGTCCAATCTGTATATTTTATTAACAATCCTACAGGGCCACCTCATTGCACAGAGCTCAGCACTTAGGCTCCAGGGTAGATTCATGATCTCGGGTGCAACGTTTAAGGCCTGGCCGATCCTGAATCCAGCTGTGATGACACAGCGTTAATGTGGAAGTGAGATGTGCATACCGTGATGATGTTTGCTTAGTTAAATGTCCCAGATGTGCTATTGTTAAAAGTGTATGATGAAAGATTATGAGTTGGCTGAGTCATTCCTCAGACTTCAGGGCACTGAGTTAGCACTGATAAAATCACGGTTTCCAATCCGGGCAGCCACCTATTATTAAACTGGGTTCTCAACTGTACTGAGTAGCGAGTTAATGGTGTCTCTGAAGCCCACCAGTAACTACACAAAACAACAACAAATGCATCATGTAAAATTTCATTTTCTCTGTGGTTAAATTCCAACTTTGAGGATTTAAAATATCGATCTGACTTGTCATGCAGCAAACTTTTCTCCCATTCGTAAATCGTGCCCCTTTGTGTGTCGAAAAAGAAAAGGTCACTTGAAGTGATCTTTGAAGTTCTGTGAAATCCAGTTCTTCTGTGGTCCATTCTCTAATCCACAGGGCTTCGCTGTCCTGTGGGACTTCTTTGAATGAATACTTTGTATTGTGACTGTCAATAGCCCACGCGGGGTAGGGAAAAAAACATCTGCACTTTACATAGTCTCAGGAACTATGCACCCCCACCCCCTGACTGCGGCGGGGAGAGCCGGATGGGTTCAGTGGGTTCAGAAGTGGAGGGCCAATCCCACAGTGCCTCATGGCCTCTGACCAAAGTCACCTTGAATACAGCAAATCTCCTCATGTCTTGGAAGTTAAGTAGGGTTGAGCCTGGTTGTACTTTCAATGGGAACCTTCCTGGAAAATCAAGGTATTGTAGGATTCTCTATATATACCTGGTTAAAAATAGCTGGGTTATTTTTCTGGGTTCTCTAGTTTCCCCTTCACATGCCAAATGTTCTTTATTGGGAATTGGCCAAACACCCCAATAGGAGGAGACTCTTGAAAAAACAGTTGCTTGAGACTCAACGAGACATTTCTGGGCAAAGGGGGTGATTATTACACTATGTAACGCAATTTTTGTTGCTAGGTAGTAAGTGTTATTTCGTAATTGCTCATGCCTAAAGAGTATCGACAATGTCTATTATTCCCCACAAACTTTGCTTTTGTGACCAGGACAGTGATATTTTGAAATGTACTTATTTTCAATGAGAAAATGGGCGAATTTGTGTCTTTTCATTCACGTAAAGTCAGAAAAAAACAACATGAATCAAAATTAACATGTATTAATACTAAAGTAATAAAAAAATTACTACAAAAGATTTAGAAGTGAGTAGTTTTTCTAGATTTACGATTATACTGTAAATCACTTTCACGAATCAGCCCCCAAATGTAGTCTCCCATCATGTTCTCGTTATACTGTCCTTGGTAGCGGCGTTCAAAGTCCAGTATATCCTGGTGGAAGCGCTCACCCTGCTTCTCTGAGTATGCTCCCATGTTCTCCTTGAATTTATCAAAATGAGCATCAAGGATATGGACTTTGACGGACATCCTATAGCCCATTGTGCCATAGTTCTTCACCAGTCTCAACCAGCTTCACATAGTTTTCGACCTTGTGATTGCCCAGGAAGCCACGAACCACTGCGACAAAGCTGTTCCAAGCCGCTTTCTCCTTACTAGTGAGCTTCTTGGGGAATTCATTGCACTCCGGGATCTTCTTTATGTGGTCCGACGAAGACACCGGCTTTGACCTTTGCCTCAGACAGCTTAGGGAAGAAGTCTTGAAGGTACTTGAAGGCTGCCGACTCCTTATCTACAGCTCTGACAAATTGTTTCATAAGGCCCAAGTTGATGTGCAGTGGTGGCATCAGCACATTCCGGGACCCCACCAATGGCTCCCACTTGATGTTGTTCCTCCCCACAGAGAACTCGGTCCGCTGTGGCCAGTCCCGCCTGTGGTAGTGCGCCTTGGTGTCCCTGCTGTCCCAAAGGCAAAGATAGCAGGGCAACTTGGTAAAACCGCCTTGGAGACCCATCAGGAATGCCACCATTTTGAAGTCTCCAATGACCTCCCAGCCATACTCATCATACTTCAAGGCATCTAGCAAGGTCTTGATGCTGTTGTAATCCTCTTTGAGGTGCACCAAGTGAGCCAGGGGATGAGACGGGTACTTGTTACCATTATGGATCAGCACGGCTTTGAGGCTCCTGGATGAGCTGTCAATGAAGAGGCGCCACTCATACTGGTTACAGGTGATTCACATTACCTCGAACAGACTGGTCACATTATTGCAGAAGCAGAGCCCATCTAGACGGGTGAAGAAGCTGCAAAAAGGTTGGTGATGCTTCCTCTGATCTGCGACTTGTACACTTTTATCCAACCAGTTCCACTGCTTGAGCCTCGACATCAAAAGCTCAGCATTGGACTTGGTGAGACTAAGATCTCTGATCAAGTCGTTGAGGTCTTTTTGGTTGGGGTAGTATGGGGTTCTCTCCTCAGCTCCATCTTTGAAATTGTCATCTGGATCTACAACGTCTTCCTCGCTCTCTGACTTGCTGCTCTCTTCTAAAGACGGCTGCGCTCTCTCCGGAGGAGTGGGTACGGGGAGCTCATGGCAGTGTGGCACCGGGGCGATGGATGAAGGAAGGTCTGGACACGTGATAGCAGGTGCATTCTTGCCAGTCCGACGTTAGCAAGGGTCCACCATGCAGAAGTAGCAGTTGCTTGAGTGGTCAGTTGGTTCCCACCAAATTATTGGGATAGCGAACTTCATGGCTCTCTTTTCTCCTCTGTACCATCCTACAAAAATACATTTATTTCACCCATGACTAATGTGTAAGAGATTCTCGCAACATTTTTCATATATGATATATTTTTTCAATAACATTGAAAATTATTTTTTAAATTAAATTAAAAACTTTTACAATTTAAATGTTTTTATAACATAAGATTCCAAGCAACAATAGTCCATCTTACCTTCCAGAGTTTTTTGCATTGCTCGCAGGTGAAATGAGGTGCCCAGGGTTTGTCTTGATCCCCGACAGGCATGCCGAAATATGCCTTGTAGGCCTCACACATCTTAGCAGATGCTTCTACAAAGTGCTTTTTTGCTCTTGCCTTGATAAATTGGCCGCAGACATAGCAAAATGCGTCTGCCGGATGCTTGCAGCCTCTTCATGCCATCTCAAAAAAATACATATATGTATCTACTTAGGCAGCTGGAACTAAACTGAACTTGTGGGCTTAATGCCCCTATATTTATACTTCTATTTAAATTATTGGAAAGTTCTAGAATGTTCTCGAAGTTACTCCAAGTTTACTCAGCACTGAATATATCTGGGATGTTCTGGAAAATAGGTACATTTCAAAATATCACTATCCTGGTCACAAAGGCAAAGTTTGTGGGGAAAAATATCCATTTTCTGTACCTTTGAGGCATAAGCAATTAGGAAATAACACTTACTACCCAGGGACAAAAAATATATTACAAATTATTACACAATGTTATAATTATTGTAGAGTTTGGGGAGACGGACCCAGATCCTGCTGCTGATTCGTGGACCACTCCAGGCCCATTGCTGTGCAAGAGGAGCCAGGATTCCAGTGATCATGGAAGGCACCAGTGTCAAGATTCTATGGAAGTTGAAATCTTAAGTGATGACCTCATTCAGTCATTGGGAATGTTTCCACTCAATATCAGTAATCGTGTTTGCTATGCTGATGAGCAATACAAATAAACGTACATCCCAAGTGCTACTTATGAGCAAACAAGTCCATCAATTAGCTGACCAAAATTGTGAAAAGGCCAAAATGCCCTTAACTATTGCCCGGTATGCTCCATAATAGCACACACCATGATATGTGCACCTATTTAAGCTCCACTTGTCGTTTGTGAGTGCTTTGTAATGCTTGTTTTTCTCATACAAATTATGAACCACACTACTGTCCCTTGAGTGATTTAAATGTCTGAGTTTAATATAACTAATTCTACGCCAGTGCAATAATTGCATAGGCGTAAGCTAAATGAAGCTCGAGCATGTTGAGAAATTATAATTGCATTCGTGACATTCATCCAATAAATTCACCAAACTACTTCTGAGCGTGAACAGATTCATGCCGTTACACAGTTTTATGACCGAACAAAATAAGATGTAACTATATTCTTGGTTCTTTCGGTAAAGTCACGTAGAAGGGAAACAATAACTTTACCGAAAGAACCAAGAATATGAATCCCTGCAGTCACGAAAGCTTTAAATCAAAATTTAAGATCTAACTGTTTCTGGGAACACAACTGAAAAATAAAACAGAGTACTGTATTAATTCAAGGTGGGCCAGCATACAAATTAATAAGTAAAGAGACGATAAGGCGTAGCGTGTGCATTTTTACATAATTATTTTATGCTAAATGTATTAGCCACATACCAAGGTGTTTAAACAGCCAGTTTTCAATTGGTGGATTTTGCCTGCTATGATATATGGCTCAGAAACATGAATAGTCACAAAGAACGTGGAATAAAAGCTGATAACTCGGTGACGAAGCATGGAAAGATGCATGCTGAGAATCACACCGAGAGACAGAATGAGGAACACATAGCTCAGAGGACGAATGCAAATCAGAGGCATCACACTGGCTTGGTGAAGACGCAGCACTCCCAAGGTATGATGTCCGATGGATGAGACGGGTGATGGAATGGCAGCCAAGGACAGATCAACCATGGAGACAAAGCATTAAAATAACAAGCTACGACTCCTACACTATTTTTATTTTGCCAGCTCTTTTTCAGAAGCGACCTTGCTATCACAAATGATAGCTCAACGCAGTGGCTGATCACGTGGAAATTTATAGCAGCCAAATACTCCAAAATGCATGTTGATAACTCAACGAAGTCAAACTGGAGGACCCAGAGAAAAATCCATGCGACCAACGGAGAGAACAAATATACAGACGTCAGGGTCGGGATTTAATCCACGAACCTCCTGTATGCCAGGCGATGTAATTAATATCAGCACTGTGGCACCCTAATCATCTCGTCTGCAAGACCAAAATGGATTCCGGTAAGCCCACTTGCTTATGTTAATTATCAACACGATATCTCTAACTTGCGTGTGATCTCTAATTTTCGTGTTTATGTCTGTCTCTCAGTGTAATTACAAGGCATACACCTCTCCTTGCTTCTTTGCAAATGTACAGCCTTTAAATTTTGATTTAAAGCTTTCGTGACTGCAGTAATTCATATTGAAGGGAAACAATAAAATATATATTTTATTATTTTATTGTTTCCCTTCAACGTGACTTTACCGAAAGAGCTAAGAATACGTACAGCCTTTGTTCCATTTTCTTTGTCCATGTCCATATTTCTAATCCACAAGTGATTGGCACCGATTCTGATTTTTCATCAGCACATTGCTGCTTTCCATTATTGTCGTACAACTTTGAATAAAAATGACTCCAACCTATTCATGTCCGCCACCTTTTAATTCATAAATCTAATGTTGATCTGACGTTAACAACCAGCCCTAAGTATATATATATATAAAAAAATCAATTGTGTTCCTCCGATTGATTTCGCAAACTCGGCTTTGTGTGCCAATGTAACAAGCAACACACATTGTATGGCACCGTCACCACATGTCATCTAACAAGGTAGCTTCACGCTGCCAATACATTTTGAGACTTTAACTTCAAAACAAAATGCCACATAAAAAAATCAACAGCGACTTACCGCTATCGGCATTATATTTAAACTTGCTGCGATACGGAAATTATTCATCCAGATCACGGCAGGAAGCTCATTTTGCACTGAAACAATTTTTTTACGGCTAAATAAATTGCTTGTGTGATTTAATAGCGTTCAAAGGCTAAAGCGTCTTGTTAAGATGCAGAAAGCAACACTCATTATGGGACTATGCTGGTCTAAAGGCGTGAGCGTGAGGAGTCCCCAGATGCAGTGCAATCATCAATCAGAGTAGCATTTAGAAGGTTCTTGACAGCGACTCATTTGAAGCTTTCATTACACACCAAAAAGGTGGAATTAGCTGGTGGCTGACGACCGACGGATTGGGCGGGTACAAAATTACGCATTTCATAATGAGAGAGTTTTTAGAAATTCGGCCCCCCAGTATTTCACGACGCTTCTGGGTAGGTTGTGGCCTTGATGAAACAATTTTCAAGAAAAATACGACGTACTTTTGACCGTTTCCATTTTGTTTGCTTGCAATGAACAAAAAGAAAAAGCTAATTTTGGAAGGCTACCAAAGGCATTTTTTCCCCTGTCGTTACGAGCGGAGGTGAGATAAGAGGCGAGAAGGACGCAGCAGAAGAGGAGAAGGGGGTCGCGACCTCAAATTCTCAGCCGGTGAAATTCGCAAAGCACAAGGCTTCAGCTTGTGGGTTACATTGTGCGGACAGCACCTTGGTTTATTGCCACCGTAAACTGCGGGAGATGTAACCCCCATGAAAACCTCACCTCCCTTTCTCTTTGCTGCCTCGAATTTCTTCCACCCACACGCTCGCTGCCGTCTAACACCCCCCCCCCCCCCCCCCCCCCCCCCGGGACCCCCCCCCCTCGCTCGTATCTCCGATTCACCTTCACGATAATCCTCTAGTTGCCCTTTGTGAGTGAGTCACAGCAGGCACAAAAAATATATATAATTTTTTTACTGTCAGAGTCAAAAGGACAATTTCGTAATGTTATGCATTGTAATAAAAAATAGATTAAGCTCGCCAAAGCAAAAAAAAATATATGTAAGTGGCCAAATTGTAATCTGCTGCACCGTTAATTTGAAGTCAGTCACAGGTCTCACCCTGTTCAATTGATCATATAATGAAAGTGACCAACACAAGAGGAATATGCAATTTTACCCACTGTCTCAGGTCCACCGAAGGGTATTTTAATACGAATGACAATTAGCACTTTTACTTGACGGATTAAAAGTTTAGGATATTTTCTTTACTACGTAATGACCTCCAACAACACTTTCAAAATAATGGGCCTTCTGGTCCAATGTTATCCAGCAGTATTTTTTTCAGCAGGCAAACCCAGAATAGCATTTTACTCTTAGGGTTTCATCAGCAGTCAGGCCCATTACATAAATGGTGCTGGATGAGGCCTGATATCAAACGCAATACCACCCCTTGAACACAGTGGGATTTATTCAGCACAAAACAGCAATCTCGTCCAGACAAGAAAAACAATTCAGTATTTCAGTATGTAGGCCTCATGGACCTAATGAGTCGTCGCTATACCTTAACGCACACAGATGACAAGGTGGTGTCTGACCTGTGGGCTTTTACATCGTGTTCCGAAGCTTGAGAGCTTAAATCCCGTGGGGTGGGGGAGGAGGTGTCGACAAAGCCCATCATCCTTTCAGGGCCAAATAAAACGAGTACCACTTTGCTGCGCCAACAATGTTTTGTCTCACGGGACGGAGACACAACAGCGTGGAAATGTGGGAATTTTCCACCAAAATGTCTCGGCACAGCGCAAGCATTGCTGCGACGGGTGACGTACCGGGGCACTTCGCATCAGCGCACGTCTTTGTCTCGGAGGAAAGGCCGTCACACATCTTCCCGTCGTTGAACGGCCCGTGGCAGACTCGAATGCGCCTCCGCTCACCTCTGCCACACGTCACGGGGCATTCGTTCCACTGGCCCCAGGACATCCACTGGCCGTCCACTACCCAGGCACAGAGACACAACAGGACGGGAGGGGGTTGGGGGGGGGGGCCCAAGATAAGCCATCCAGACTCAGACTTTACGGAGCAAGTAGCCGTCGAGGGCCGGCACGAGCGTCAGAAGAGAAGGGGCAGAAAAAAATACATCCACACGTACACAAAGTACGCGTACACTGATGCAGTACGAACTAAACTAGGGTCAGGCCTCGGCGTTCGCCAAAGTAGAATTCGCGAATGTAGCTGCTCTGTTTATGTGGGGGGGGGGGGGGGGGGGGAGGGAGAGAAATGGGGTTATGTTCAAGTGTCCAACTGAACATAAGGCAGAAAATAAAAATGTCATAACATTAATCCTGCACTGTACACGCAAACCAACATCCATATAACATAATTAGATGGTACAACAATATAGATAACACAAATAAGACAACAGAGTAGAATAAACAAAAAACAAAAAGGCATCAATTTCACTGTAAATTTGAAAGTTGCATGTACCTCTAAGCGGTCACTTAAACGCGAATGACACGCCAATGGAGGCGTCCGTCCGGCATGTCCTCCTGCACGAGTGGACCGGCTCGATGCGGGTGGCAATCTGTGCGTGTGGGGAGCGGTAGCTACGAACCTGGCAACCCGGGTTCGATTCACGCTCACGGCCAACACCCAGTGACGATTATCTGAACCGGTCCTGGGCCTCCCCTAGGTCGACTCAGCCTCAAATGAGTATCTGGTGCGGTGGATAAAAACATTGCCACTGGGGAGACAAAGGCGGTCGGGCGTGGTGCTGGCCACCCACCCCCTCGTGTACCGCTCCGGCCTTCATAGGTGCTCGCTAACAGCACTTGCCCCTGCAGTCTGAGGCTATACCGGGGATCTTTGTCTTTATGTGTTCGGCCGGATAGAGGGGGTTAAAGGGGCGCGGGCTAGAGAAGAGACGGAGAGATGTGGTACAAGAGCCTCTTGTGGAGGAGGCTCGTGAAGGACGCTGCTGCTGCTGCTACTGGGCAGTTGGAGGCAGTTGCCCTCCAGCAACAACGGAGGGTCAGGAGGAGCGACGCTCACAACAACGAGCGGAGCAGCCAGGCTTCTAAAACACAGCAAGTTGGCACAGGTGGTGCATCGGCCAGTCATCTCAATCAGTTGACCCGTGGCACCTGGGTCTGCCCCGTGACCTCCTGCCAGCGGGCGTTCGACACTTCACGTGGCCTCAACGCGCACCTAGCCTGGCACAAGCGCCGTGGTGACATCACCACCACTTAGTGGTTGTTGTGTGCACATCATAGAGGGCCCACACAAATCCACCACAACGGAAGTTACCCCCCCCACCCCTCGTCAGCCACGAAGGCGTGCTGCCAAATCGCGAAATTTGTGCTCGCTCACAGCAACACGCCCCAACAGTGCGTTAAGGCTATTGGGGGTGGATCCTCGTCTTTAATATAGGAGGATAAGAGAACTCTGGATGTTGTGCCGTAATGACCTGACAATGAATCATAAGAGAAATACTGTTTAAAAAGGCACATTTTAAAAAAATAATCTGCTTATATGCAACACGGGTTTGTCATCATATCTGTTTATTGCCGTAAGCTCGTGTTTATATTCCTATAGGGTGGGGGCAATTACTCTGCAGGGCGACCATGGAAATACAACACAAATGACCGTGTCATTTATTCATCAAAAAAAGGTCCATGTCTTCCATAGACTCAATTCCAGGAAGGTCCCACTTCAGGACGTTTTACCAATTCCACTGTGGAGTGTTTTTGGCCTGATACACAACGCAAGAAGGAGAGTGAGAGAAATTTAACACAATAAATCATAAGCAATAAAGATGGATCCTTCGTGCAAAGTAAAAAGGGGGAGAGAGAGGGACATAAATTGACAGCAAGTGGAGGGCTGTTCTAGGTTATAAGAGCAGCGGAGGGGAAGGAATGGCCTCCCATTGCACGGCGATTGATGATGGGAGGTGGATGGAGGTGTGTTTTCTAGCGCAGAGAGAGCAGAAGCGAGATTACGGGGAGATGTGGGCAGAGGTAAATAGGAGGGATGTAACGAATTTTTGATGAGAGTGGGAGATATATTTTTTATTCGAGAGGTAGGTGAATGAAGGTGGTTGAATTTTTTTGTGTGTTCGATGCCTTGCAATTGCATTAGCATATTCATACTTAGGGTACACACGTTGTTTACATGCCATCAAACTCGATGGGATATTACGCTCGTGCCGCTTACAAAAACCAAACACGTACCTCTGGCATGGATAAGCCTCAGAGGGAAATAAATGAGACTGAACGCAGCAATATAATATGTGACCCCACATAAACTGCCCTTTCCTAACCCTCCACTCACCCTTGTGCAATGATTCGGTTCAGAAGCTACCCTCCCCCATCCAACACACATTTCTCATACAGTTGCAATTATAATATTTCCATCTGTGTCATTGCTTGTTCGTAAAGGACAAAGAGTGAATAGATGGCAGCTCACGATCTTGCCTCCGATCCTCTTAGCCATTTGTAACGAGGGCATTTTCACAATCCTGTCAAACATTTCACATCCTTTTCCACATTCATCGGCGAACGGAATTCCACACAAGTGGCCCTATCATAACTCCACATCGCTCAAGCGTTGCTGGTATAATGGCTCTTTGCATACTCACCATCGTCTTCACTTTCTCACGTTTTTGCACTGAACTCTTGCAAATTATGGACCTTTCCACGAATCAACAGAGACCACAAATTGAGGAACGATATATCGGTGATGTTCTCTTTGTAGCAGAAAAGCGACTTGCGGAAATAAGGGAGTGATTTTCCTGCAGTGCCTTGTTGTTGCTTACAATCCAATACCTCACAATATTCAAAGCTTGACGTCTACAAGCGCAACATCAAATTAATCAACATTTCCCTGCGTTTGGTAAGCTCATAGAGAGGGCCCTATTGATTGCAGGTGTCAGCAGTGGTGTCTTAACTGAAAAATTGATGTTTGGCTTTTTTTTGTTCATTGTACCCCTCCCCGCTGCATTGTAATGACTGACACACTCCTGTGAGACCGCTGCGTTCTCTGTGCACATGCACAGCTTCAGCTCCCGTCTCAGTGGAACGCCACGATTGCTGCAATTCCATCAAATTACCAAGAAGCGAACATCAAGCACTCGAAAATTGTAAAAGCCCTGTACTGACCCTGCTCTCATAATCACACAAATGTGAATGCACCCATTTGTTTGCTTCAACCCGCAACATAATTGCATCACCCCCCCACCCCTACAACCCTGCTTGGCAAATATGTGCAATCATCCAAAGAAGTTACTGCATACAGAATTTCAGGTGAAAGTATACTTTTTTGTTGTTGAAAATAAATGCTTGCCTTGATCTGCACCCAACATCACAGCGATGCCAATGTCAGGTCAAAATCCCACCTACACAACGTGCTTCTTACAAAAAGATGCATGCAAGCACGGTGGTGAGATGTTATTTACCTTGCCTGGTATACAGGAGGTCGTGAGTTCAATCACCACCCTGACGCATGTATATTTGGGGTTTGCGTGTTCTCCCCGTGGTCGTGTAGATTTGTCTCTGGGTCTTCCAGTTTTCCCTCCACGTTTATAAATATGCTTCAGAGTATTTGACTGCTATAAATTTCCATATTATAAGCCACTTCCTTGAGCTATAACGTGTGGTCAGGTTGCCTCTAAAAAAAAGAGCTACATAGCTCAGTGGGCCTTACCTGGTAAATAAAAAATTGTTCAGGTTAATAGTTTAGATACATTTCTTTGTGTAATGCATGTATATTCTTGGTTCGTTCGGTAAAGTCACGTAGAAGGGAAACAATAAAATAATAAAAATATAAAACAATAAATTTCTCACGACGTTTCGACTGCAACACAAGCAATCATCATCAGGTGTGAAAACCACAGCAAGAAAATATGAAAAAAGTGGCGGTTATTTTTAACGTTAGCACCACGGAGAGCGATTTGACAGTTTGTTCAGATGGACGAGTCCATCTATGTTCGGAAAAGAGGAGGGGGGAGACGAAAATAATGGATGCGAAACGTCGTGAGAATTTTATTGTTTTATATTTTTATAATTTTATTGTTTCCCTTCTACGTGACTTTACCGAAAGAACCAAGAATATGAATCCCTGCAGTCATGAAAGCTTTAAATCAAAATTAATGTATGTATGTTGAACTTCTTTTACACCGCACGAAGCCGATCGTGCTAATCAGAGGTGCGAAGCATTAAACAATACAACAATAATACTAATAATCATGAGTGATATGTGACCTGTATTCTTGCATGAATTAATTTCTGCATGTACAATGGGCAAGGATAATTGATTTGAAAGTGTCTTAGAACTGGGTGGAGTAGAAGTACAATTGTTAATATGCTGTGTGATGAACCCAGCGACCTATATTCTATTCCTGGTTCCGGCTGCCATTAGTGCGGTGAAATATGGTAAAATAATCATTATGAGCAACAGGGTGTGGGAAGGCCTTCATACAACAGTGGATTGACAAAAGGCTGTACATCATTTTATTGTTATTATTAATATGCTAACAGGTAATAGCAATGTTAAAACAATAGTATTCACCGTGTGATGTATTTTTGTACGTATTTACAAATAAACCTGAAATTGGATCGGTATTTATTTCCTGGATTCTCAGTCTGGTTATATTTATAATGCCCTTCATATGCATATGTGCACGAATATGTATCAGAGTGCCATATTAACAATATGCATCCTCTATATATGTGTAAAATAAATATTGCTGTGCAGATGTGCAGAGTAAAGAATCTGATATGAATACATGCTGGTTTAAAGTAAATAACATTTTTAGACGAAATTTAATATTTCATTACAGATGGGAAAGAGTATTTCATTCCCTTTATGAAGTAATAAAAAAGCATCGAAAATAGAAATTTGCATCGTGCCATTTTGTGACACTAAAAAACGCATTCAGGAAAAAAATAATGGCTTTATTGCTAATGGATATTAAACAATAAAGGCACAGTGTGCATTTCTATTTGAGGCCCTGAGCCAGTAGTAGAAATTACACATTCCCATGGTATTGGCCAATCTCTCTACAGGACCGTTCATTATATTATTAAGAGTGACCAAATTTATACTATACATAGGGATAAGCGTGAATACTTAAGTACTTTTTAACACCGTTCATTAACAACCACATAGACAATCATTTTAAGGACTTTAATAATATATAAAAATATATTTTCAGAGCAATATCACTGAAATACATTTATGAAGCTTAGTAACAGACTTTTACTGAAATATAGCTAATAAAAGAGCCACCTGGTCACAAATGATAGCTCAACGAACTGGCTTATCATGGTGACATTTATAGCAGCCATATACTCTAATATGAGCCATAAATACAGTACACACTTTTTACAGAAAGGATATAGGCTTTATTGTGTCAAATGATCACCGGGGTCCTGTCTACATAACATTAAGCAATGTCCACATTGTCCTGTAGTATCATAAAAGGCACCAGAAAGAGGCTTTAACATTAAATTGTCCAAGATAACAAAAAGCTCAACACGTTCGTCAATAACTGCCTTGAAAGGACAAATATATAACAGGTCAGGGGCCGGCAACCAAAATATCAAGAGCAGACATTTTTTTTCCAATTCGGGAAAAATACCCCTAAATATTTCAAGAGTCACAATGCATGTGAATATGAGACGGCGGTTCCTTAATAAATAACGTCCCGTATGCATGTTTAATTTCTTTCGCACCGTACGTAGCCAACCGTGCTAATCGGAGGTGCGGGATGTTTTAGGCAATGGCCCCTCTCAGCACGACGGCCCTTCTTTATTGTCCACATGAGGCCACATTAACCAGGCCCCATACATTTTGTAATGCTCGGTGAAAATGTCTGATTCATATATAAATAATGAGAAGAAATTAAGTGCAGAAATAAAATCAGAAATGTCAACACTTTCTAGATGCAAAAAGATGCAACAGGCATTGAGATACAACAGGCATTTATAGCAGCCATACTACTAATTGAATTGGCTTCAAGCATTAGGCCTACATTTGAGCACTTCCATCTACACATGCTATGACTGAGCCAAAACGTCTACAACTGATAAATTTCTAAAAACAAAACAAATCTTCTCTTTTGCTTAAGTGGTCAGAAAGTCTGCAAACTCGATTTAGACTTCACAAAGGGTACACTGAAATAATGTATTGTTGTCAAAATATTCATTCCAGCTGGTTCAAAAATAAAGTCTCTCTTTACGTACAACATGAAGACTCACCGATTGTCCGTAAAACACAAATCCTTATGCCGTTTTCATCGCATTGTTTTACCTGGGCTAGAATTATGCACAATGGTGTTACTCATAAGCAGAATGCGTATATAACGTGCCGGAACGCACAAACAGTAATTCAGCACTTGAGTACAATGCTTACTTGAATGTATAAAGAAAATACTAATTGGGGGAATGTGGTGGGAGATTGCACATAAATTAAAAAGGTATTTACCAGGACATACGCGGATGTAGCATTCTTGCTTCTCAGTCCATTGGCCCCTGCACTCCGCGCCTCCATAGATGGGGCCTTCGCACTCCCGTGAACGTTGCTGGGTCCCATTGGCACACGACACAGAGCAAGGAGTCCAATTTGACCACTTTGTCCACTTTCCATCCACTGCCAAACAGAAAACAAACAGGAAGTTTGATGTGATGAAGAGGTCATCGTAATTAATGCAGCTGACGCCACCACAACTCACCATCACGCCCCGTCTTTCAGCCTGATCCTGCTGCAAACTGTTGTACAGTCAACACACAACCTCCAAGGTCTGCATTTACATTGTGCCTCCTTCTGGGCTTCAGGGTTCCCCTGAGATGCCAAACCTATGGGTGCTCACTCAATACCTGTCTCAGCAACATATTCTCCTTCATCATGCCTACTCAGCCCAACTATGGCAAAGTCTCCTTCCTGATGATGTCTGCAATGCTTTCTTGCAACATCTATTGTTGTATTGCTCTCAGAGGCATTTGGGTCTTCATGAAGCTGACCCACCCCTACCCTTACTATCCCCGCCCATCCAACTACTCATCAAATTCTGGCTGTCGCCTGATGAGGCTGGTTGCAATTACCGACGAAACTTAAGCACTCGAATTGTAAATGTTGTGGGTTTCCTCTGAAACACATCGGTGTGCTGAACAAGTAACTTCCTGGCATGTTTTGATTACGTGACAAGCCTTTCTAATGGGCTGTGTCGGGTGGTGGCGGGTTTAACAACACATTTATATTTACGTGATTTAACACAAAAAACTTCTATTATCGAAAATATAGGCCGTGAAAGCCTACTACGTGTTAAACTCCTCTGCCCTTCCACAACCCCCACCCCTACCAAAAACAAGCCCAACCCCAGTCAAAGGGAAGGGTCGTGGTCTAATAAGGAAGGGGTGAGGCCTAAGGAGTAAGAGGGCCTAAAGAGGAAGAGATGGGGTCAACAGCAGTTAAACTTCCCAGTTGATTTAAGACAACAAAATAACATGAACAAATATGGGTAGCAGGCAGAGTCGCTTTCGTACTGCGGGTGTGGCCACAGGAACAACTAGTTCTATTTACATATGCAAGCGTCTAAGTTGCTTATTGTTTTTTCCAAAAAAAATTATCATGCACATTTTCTCAAAATCCAGAAGTTTTTTCTTAGTTACAGCTGTCTAAGTCTCACATGCTGCCCTATACTATAACGCAGACATTGCTGTTGGCTCAAACACTAATCTCTTAACGCTAAAGTATATCAACACTTTTCTGAAGTGGTGATGAAGCCAGACCTACCACATGTTAAATACTTCTGGACAATTACAAACATTTATAAGTATTATTTCCCGTAATCTGGTCAGGTGGTATTGTGCCACAGCACCTGACTCACACTCGGATGATCCTGAGCTCAAATTTGAGACGGGTCATCCCAGGCCATAATCCGACCCAGGGTTAATAAAACAAGGGACATTTTCTTAACAATCAAGAGCAGTTGTCCTATGGCAACAAACGAATTACTGCCATAGAGATGTTAAACTTTTCTTGCTGGCTCAGCATCGTTGCACCTGCATTATAGCATGCACAGGCTTTTTAGAGAGTTACACCCAGAATTTACTGGATAAATATCCACACGAACGCTCGCTCGGTGTTCTCATTAGCTACACCTGCTGTGGGGAATGTGAACATCCCCTTGTTGGATAAGGAGATTCCACCGTATGCCTGTAATCTTGATTTGCCAGTGGGAGACCAAAAAAATGTGTAACCATGTTATTGTGCAAGTACAAATTTAGAAAAACTGCTCCAGGTTTATTTCGTGATACATTTCAAGATCCCAAGACTTTTTATGTTTCAGGCTTTGCTGATAAAAGTGGTTTACACAGCCAAATAAAAGCACCAACATACATGAACATTACGCCTTACGAAAACAAATGCGTTAAACATTGCCCATTATATAGTATTAGAAAGACACTGGAGCTATGCACTTTTTAATCTAGATGGAAAACTCATTTCTTTAGAACTGCTTTTTGTGTTTAGTGTGTTGTCCTTCCGCACACCTCCAATTAGCACGGTTGGCTGCATATGGTGCGAAAGAAGTTGAACATATAAACAGTGTAAAAACATAATCGGTTCAATTGGGAAAACTGTGATCCTGTATGGTTATGAATGTTCGCAATGAAAAAACAACATTATTAAACACAAAAGGTCGCTTGTATTAAAGCATATCTCTTGTGATAATCAGAATGCAGTGAATTGCAATACAATACTTGTGCAAATAAAAAAAAATACTGCAACAATTTCAGCGAAGTTAGCATTTAAGTGAAAACTAATTGCGAGATCCTCTTCAGAAATTTGGGAACGACTTGGGAACCTGTCAATGGGCCAAGGCAGTTTGTCCCGAGCCACTGTTATTTCTTAAGCTGCCGTGTGTTTACATAATTCAAACGAACTTACATTTCGCTGATCCTCGGCTCTCACATTTACCACCAATACACGAATGGAACTCCTTCTCTGCAACGATCAACTGCCAACTCCATCCCGCTGTTCAAGTCCAAGCCCATGACCTTCCCTTTCTCCTCTGCCTATGACTGACTGCCTCCCCCCATCCAATGCATTCTTTGCTGTCCTCATTGCACTGGAGCCCTTGCCTGCTCCCTTGACTGACATCCTCCCAGCCCCCTTCCCCCACCTTTTCATCCGCCTCTTGCTACAGACGACGCCCCCCCCCATACCCCTGTATAGCATCTTCTGTCACATTTATCCACCCTTATATTGCTAATGCCTATGCGGTTTGCATCGCATTCATTGTTGGGGAATGACTCGGCTGACAATCTTTCCAACCCTCTAACAATGCAAAGAAGCATCATTTCACATCGCAATACGTAAAATTGTGTGTGTGTGTGCGTAAAAGCGTCGATTCTTTCCGATTCAAACATCTTGGTGGAGGCCCGCCTGCCAGCAGTGGCATGAGCAAATAATTTGCAAGGCTCACTAGATATGCCATATGAACTGCAAACGGCAAAAAGGAATCGCTTCTTGAGTAGAATCTTGACAACTCAACGAATCTTGAAGAAGATAATAGCTATGTGTCAACAATCCTCCACACGAACTCGCCCAATTGTGCGCGTGCTGCTGACCAAACACGTTTTGTCAGCCTGCCAAATTATTCATTTGTCCCCAACCTCATAAGCATGCAAGCGTGCACGCGTGCGCACACGCCCGCGTGGATTTGTGTGCTTGTTTACGTGTAGATGTATGGTGCGCAGCAGGGAACGATGGCGTAGTGGTTGGTGTGCTCCGCTACAAACCCACATTACCTGGGTGATTCCCAGCCAAGGTTGGATCCCCCCCCCCCCAACCCGTGCTCTAGGTCCACTCAGCCTTAAATCCGTACCTGGTGCAACGGCAGCCTTAAGAGGTGCTTGTTAATATAACTCTTCCAAACACTCTATGTATGTACGTATGTTGAAGTTATTTTGCACCGCACATAGCCAACCGCGCTAATCGGAGTTGTACAGGGTGAGGGGGGGGGGATTGTCTTTGTATGTGTGTGTGTGCAGGTTTGCTGAGCATTTCTGTGAGCTCTTGGGGGAAGGAAAACTCTTTAGCTCAAACAACAGCAAGATTGACCTTGATGGGACTGCAGTGCTTCAAATATTGGAGGAATTAGCTGGTCTCTGTGAGCGGCTGGCTGAGCAAGTGCGATGGGTGATCCAGAGCCCGAGACCAGGTAAAGAGCTGGGCAGAGGATGACCTTTCAAGCGAACTGATGAGGGAGGGTGGCGTTTTATGTGCAGACTGCCCTATGTGACAACAGTACAACCATCTGATACACAGGACGGGTTCCACATAATTGGAAGGATGCCTTGGTCTTCCCCATTTTTAAACAGGGGAGCCAACACTGATTGCAACAACTACCCTGTCATCTCCCCCAGTGTGCTGGGGGAAAGGTCCTGGCAATAATTTTTCAACATCTTTCCAAGCGTGCTGGGAAGAGGCTTGCAGAGCCCTGATATGATTTCAGACTGGCGCAGTCCTTCACGAACATACATTTCTCTGTCTGTCTGCTGCAATAGGCCAGGGCTCTGGGTTATTTTTCGTCCTTTTGGAGTCCCTGACCCTCTGCCCAGAATCATTAAGGACCTTCATAATGGTGAGCAGGACGGGGTTAAGCTGCATTGCCAGGAGTCGGAGCCATTATCTGTTCACTTTAGAGTGTGACAGAGGTGTCCTTTGACCCCTACATTATTTCACATCTTATTTAACAACGTAGAAGACAACAAAAAGCTTTCCATGGTTGTACTGGTGGAATTTCCATCTGGTACAAATACAATGGGAAGCTGATCGATGCCCAGGTGTGGTCAAGGGATGGTTCTATATTTGTCAACCATGTTATGTATGCTGATGACCTGGAAATTGCTGTTCACTCTGAGAAAGAGCTGGAGACGATACTGCTGTATTAAACAGTGGAGGACTCGCTCTGAATCAGCTGACCGTCATTATCTTTTCAATAGCTGCATAACACTGAGTGGAAACTTGCCGCTATATCACTACATATGAAGCTCCAGGTCTTCTCCGCCACAAATATTCCCTCCCTTGCCTATGCTTGTGAAACATCGCGTCCTTTAAAAGAACATCTGGACCAGTTTGAAACATTCAGACTGGCCTGCGTATGATCCACCCTGGGTTTATTCAGACTTGATTGTGTAAAGAGCTCACAGGTCCTTGAAAGATCTGGACAAAGTCCCATCAGTCAGCTTCTCTGGCAGGTGAGGAGGCATTGGCTGGGTCATGTAGCCTCCATTTACAGCCACCACATGCCAAAGCAGCTTCTTTTTGGCTGGATAGAGGGGGTTAAACGGGCATCGCACAGGCTAGAAAAGCAACGGACTGATGTGGTACAGGATCTGATTGGATTTGCCGATGACTGGTACCAGCAGTGTCAGGATCGACCTCTTTGGAGGAGGCTCGAAAAGGATGCTACTGGGCAGTTGGAGACAGTCACTTTCCACCAACAATGGAGGGAACAGGAGCGATGCTCACGAAAATGAGCAGAGCAACGGGTGGCTAAAACGTAGCAAGTTGGTACAGCGGGGAGCACAGGTGGTGCCTCTGCCAGTCCCCTCAGTCAGGCAACCCATGGCACCAGGGTGTACTCCATGACTTCCTGCCAGCATGCCTTCGACATTTCATATAGCCTAAAAGTGCACCTAGCTTGCCACAAATGCCATAGTGATATCACCACCAGATAGTGGTTAGTGGCAGTTGTTGTTATGTAGAAAATAGTGGTTCGGTGGTTTGTACAATTGCACGATGGTATCTTTGACCTGGCTTTGATTCCCAATCTTGCATAACATGCAATGGCAAGCATTATTTGAAACTTCTTGGACGTCACGTAGGTGACCTCAGCTCTATATGAGTACGGTACATATCATCGTGAGTAGACTTTGGAGAAAAAAGGTGGCTATGCATGGTATACTGGGTACATGACTGTCTTGTATGCCATACTGGTCTTAACAGGGGCTCGCAAACAACATCTCCACTTACAATCTCAATGGCCGTATGGAAGTATTTTTTGTGGACAGTGCTCAAAGGATACATTCAAATGGAAGGAGGATGTTAATATCCAGTAGAACGACTAATCACTTAACGACGGGCCTCCAAAGAGCCCAATGTCTTCACTTACCAACCATTCCCTGTTAACGAGCGGGCCGTTGTAGGTACAGTAAATATGAATGCATTGATTAACCGTGTTAATTTTAATATAATGTGTTTATAATGTTGTTAGTATCTTTATGTATGAATATCCATTGTTTAAATATTATAAAGTACGTTTTTTGGGGTGAAACGGGGTAACTTTCGATGCTATTGGAACGAATAAAGCATTTAAAATGTCTTCTCTATACTCACTTAACGACCAAATAAATCACTTAACGACCGTTTTCGTAGAACCAATTGCCATCGTTAAGAGGGGTTCTACTGTACAGTGCATTTTCAGCGAAGATTAAACTTTCGATAAAGTGGCTACGGAGGGGAAGGGTTGCAGCCTACTATTGTGTATCTCTGGTGTAAATGAACACCCTTCGTGCATTCAATTTGAATGGAAAAGCTCCTTCATCCCCCCCCCCCCCCCCCCCCCATGCCTCTTACCAACAACCCTTTCGGCTAAGTTTATATGGATGGCCTACAGAGCTTTCTCCATGAGATATAATTAACGGTGGCTGGATTGAACATTTCCTGTTATTTTTGTTTCCATTTAATGTCTTGCTTTCTTCTGCATGTGCATTATTTTAAATTCAGTCAATTAACAGTCGCACAAGCATAAAATATAACCCAACACATCCCCGCATTCACATCATAATTGGACTCCATCTCTGTAATACATCACAAAACATATTGTTCCTTTAAAAAATTGAACATTATATTCATTATATTCACAATGCATGCACTATATACCAGCATCATGACTAACACTGCCTTAAAAACTGAACAAAAAATACATTAAGCTAATCATTTGGCCAATAGACATTTCAAACAAAGGGACATTGCATGGAAGGTCATTGCTATAAATATTTTGCATTTTTTTACTTTGTTATATGCAAAAAAAGGCAGCATTCATGAATGTAATGGTGGTACTAGAGTCGTAGTGGGAATTGGAAGTGCAGCGGTTAGCATGTTATGCTTCGAACCTGATGACCCGAGTTTGAGTCCCGCTCATGGCCAACAAGAGCGGTGATAATCTAAACTGGTCCTTAGACCTGCACTCGGTCAACTCAGCCTCAAATGAGTACCTGGTGCAGTGTGTAAACATCGCCACTCGGGAGGCAAAGGCGGCCGGGGGTGGTGCTGGCCACCCACCCCCTCATGTGCTGTGCGGGCCTTCATAGGTGCTCGCTAACAACAGCACTTGCCTGAACAGTCTGTTAAGGTAATACAGGTGATTTTTGTCTTTAATACTAGATTGTATTTCATCCAATTTATAATTCTGCACAACTGGCAATTTATTTTCTTATATATTAGTTATCAAAATACACAGCCAAAGACACGCTCAATGCTATCACACTAAACGAGGCTGTGGAAGACATTTTGAGCACCACAAAGATTAAAATAACACAATGGTGGTTCATTGAGCATTGGAATGGAAAAGAGACCGCAGGTGAGATAAAGCAAGGGGTCTCATGATGGTTAAAACGAGCGATCTGATAGAGGTCACATTGGGAGGGCACATGGGAGGGGTGTGGGGCTGATTGTGGTGTTTTCTTTAGATCACATTGAATCTGGAGGTCAGATTGTGAAATCTTAAGGAGGCTACATGGAGGGGTGTGGAGGCTGATAATGGGGTCCTCTGAAGATCAGATTGAAGAGTGTGGAGGTCAGATGTGTGGTCCGGTGGGATGAAGGGTTTATGGAGGTCAGATAGAAGAGTCTGGAAGTCAGATCGAAGGTTCTGCAAGTTAATGACAGTATTTTCTGGAAGGTTGTATGGAAGGGGCTGGGGTCTTGATGGATAGATGTAGAGATCTGCATTCTGATGGTGGGGGTCTTCTGAAGGTGAGATAGAGAGGTCTGGAGGTCACATAAAGTCAGATTGTGGGGTCCTATGAAATGTATTGCAGTGATATGTAGAGATCTTGAGGCCATATTGGAGACATACGGAGGTCAAATGGAAGGGTGTGCAGGTCGGATGCAAGTGTCTGTTAGAGGACTAATGGAGATGTTTGGAAGCCCCAATGGAGAAATCTGCAGTGAAGGAGTCATGAGGATCTGGAGGAGTCTTCTTGGTTCTTTTGGTAAAGTCACGTAGAATGGAAATAAATAATCAAAATAAAACATAAAAAATAAAATTCTCACGACGTTTCGACCACAACACAAGTAGCCTTCTTCAGGTGAAAGAACAGAACTGTTGGGACGACAGCGCTTCAATGACTGCTGCTAAGATTCGCAGCGTCTTTTAAGCTAGGTAGGAGAACTAAAGCGCCTTGACAAAGGAGTTTACATATCAAACAGGCGAATTTAGCATTGAAATAGCTGTGTTAAAGTGTTGGATCAGCAGGGTGTTAAAGTCAGAAATTAGCATGTAACTGGGAGATTAGCATGATGCTAACGTGAGCTATTTCCGTGACTGGTCACGGAAATAACTATGTTAAAGTCAAAGTTTACATCTCAACAGAGGCATTTAGTATATGGACGCTAAATGACTGCAACTACCCAATGGAGAAGTCTGCAGTGAAGGAGTCATGAGAATCTGGAGGAGGTCAAATTCAGAGTAATACAGAGGCTCAATTGAAGGTTTACATGCTCAATGGGTAATCAGGAAGTCGACTGAGGATCATTTGGATTGAAGTGGTGGACGCAGACTGAAGCAGGTAAGGCAGAGAGACGCATGGTGGAGATAATACAGGGACGATGGAGATGTCAGATGGAGATTTAATGGGGGAGGCCTAACCGCCACCAGTGGGCCACGTGCTCCAGCAACATCCTCACTCCACCTCTGGAAGGGCCTCCCAATCAACATCAAGATAACTTGTGCAGCAGTGCGGCTTGGAGGGAGGGGGAGGAATCGTAGCCATTGAGATACACACGGAGGTACCTGGACAGAGGGCAATGCTGCACACTTTGCTCTGGTTTTTGGGCCCATCGCAGTGGTTGCCGCCATACTGCGGTTCGTTGCAGGTGCGCTCGCGCGTGCGCAGCCCGCGGCCACACGTCAAGGAGCAGAGGCTCCAGGGGGTCCACTCCTCCCACGTGCCATGAACTGTGGGGCACACAGGGCACAGCGGCATCAGCAGCAGCAGCAGCAGGAGGATGTCTCTCGACTGCAACATCCAACATTGTCACACACTCAGTTAACCCTTTCCCCATTCTGAGACGACTGCAAATTGCAGCATGGGGTGAATCTACAAATGCGCAAGTAGCTCAGCGTTATATATTTTTTAGAGAGGCACAGTAACACCATTGTTTTAAGAATACATTGTGCTCACCGTAGAGAACTGTAGCGACACGACCGTATTCTATGACAGCTGGTGCCAAACTGTGACACACACCCTCCCGCATGGATGGCCTTGTGGATAAAGTTATTTTATTTGATTGATTTCTTCTGATTCCACTCTGATGATGTACATGTGCATGTATGCCATTGGAATGGAATCGGAAGGAAAATTGATGACGTACACGTACATACACGGAATGGTAAAGGGTTACTGTAGAGCTTCCACTGCTGGTTCATGGCACACAACGGATAGTAGCACCTCGCCAATGCTCGTTGGAGTATGGAGACAATTTGAATTGAATTTTAGAACAAGGGCAATTAGCAATCGTTGATTAAACTGACTGACGTTAACAAACCATGCCAGGTATTTTTTGCTAGGCCAAGTGAACCTAGGAGAGGTCCACGGTCAGATTCAGTGGTGCTGTGAATGGCTAGAAATCAAATCTAAGTGATTGGAATCATAGCACAAGCAAACACACTGACCATCACAGCACTATTCCCTCGTTAAGTGTTAATAGTGGCTGGGAAATATGAGCGTTTAGGCACCGCACACCTGCACACGATCCACTGTTCCAGTTGTGGCGTGTCATAGTCACAATATCAGCATTACAGGGACTCCTCTACTTACGAACATTCGACTTACTAACTTTCAGAGATACGAACACACCTGTCTGTATGTTCAGTTTCCTGTTCGGTTAGAGAGTCGTAAGTTCAACCCCCGTGCAATAGATGGTGATGGTGGCATCTACATCTGCAGAATGTGAAGAACCAGTGGCCTCTACATCTACAGGAGATTATACAACTTTTAAAGCCATTCCCCGTGTTTAGTGTACATGCCATACAACATGTTTGGAATCGACAGGAGTAAAGGTGGACTTACGAAGAAATCGACTTATGAACAGACCTCTGGACCCTAACTCGTTCGTAAGTAGAGAAGTCTCTGTATACAAATGTTCACTGTGTATGGGTGGGTAAGTGAGAATACACACAGGCCAGGAAGTTGAATGTTATCCAACTGCAGATGCACATATCCTGTAAACAGCCTCCCGGTTTAAATTGATTAAACTCCACTTTGATTAGCATAATGAAACATCCTGGGTATTGCAGACTGCCCAAGTCAGATGTTGCCAATAAAGCCAACTGATTGATCAATGGGCTCCCACATAATTCACATTAAGTCCATTGATCACACTTGACAGATGCACTTGGAAAAACCAACGATGGCTTATTTTGCTAATCATGGTGGTATTTGGGATCTCACCCAATATCGCACCGAATGTGACAAATGCAGTGTTATAATTGGCTGGGTAAAGGACAGCGGGCGCCTGTAACCCAGGGCTGTACAGGAAAGCGTTGGTGGATCACCCAGAAGTGTGAACCGCCGAGATTTACTGGGCTGCACGGTGGCTAGGAGATGGCAGTGCACTAAGTGGGTTTGTAAATCCATATGTGCAGACCTTTAAGTATTATCCTTTTGTTTAAGTGGAATTTCTCCAGATACTCAATTTGCTGTACAGCCATCTCTTGGCCACATCACAGCCCAATAGGTTTGGGAGTTTCATAACTTTACATCATCCACCAACCCTTGCCCTCCCAACTGCTGGATTCGAGGCAGGCACCTCCATGTTTGGTCGATGAGGCCATTGTGGGAATGTGGAAGGGGCTTAGGGTTACCCATTGTTATGAAAGGTAAAGGTCCTACCCTGAAATTACTTGCTAAAGACACTGCTGGTAGAAGGGCCTTCACTAGACTAAACTAACTACATTAAACGTTTTATTTTACCAGGTAAGGCCCTCTGAGCTATATACCCATTTTTATTATAAGCGACCTGGAACACAAATGATCACTCAACGAAGTGGCTTATCATGTGGAAATGTATAGCAGCCAAATTGTCTAAAGGCATGTTTCTAAATATGGAGGGAAAAACGAGAGGACCCAGAAAAAATCCACACGACCATAGGGAGAACATGCAAACTTCAAATATACAGGCATGAGCGTCGGGATCGAACCTACGACCGCCTGCATAGCAGGCGAGGTAGTTAACATCTTGCCACCGCGCCACTCGAGGAATCTCTAGAAAGACTCTCTGAAGAGCATTCGGCCTCCTCTTCGATGCTGGCTAGATATCTTAGAAGAGGTGGGGATACCCACAATTTACACCACCGCATGCAAGCAGCTGAGCAACGAACTGCAGTGTAGCTTATTTATACTGCCGAGTGGACAGATGCGAGGGAATTTCAGCTGTCGTGCCAGGAGAGTGAACTGGGCGACCACTGGCTTGCAAGTATCGTGGAGATCACTACAGTCGCAATATTTGTTTGAGCAGGGAGACACTTATTCCACTTTAATGCGTAAATAGATCACCGGTTTTTAAAATTTTAAGGGTTGCAGGGCAAAATAGATGGGTGCAATTAACCATTCAATTGGCAATGGGTCATAGGATGGATATGTTATGACCGGAGGCAGATGACAATGCAGACTTTTCCTTAGCGGGCGTATACCTAACAGGTACGTGCGAGGGATCCGAGTGATCATTTTATGAAAGAGACATGTGACGGAGGCTTTAAGCGAATGACCTCCAGCTTGGAGATGAGCTCAGTAGGCTGCTAAGAAACCCGTTCAAGCCAAGCAGATAGCAAATTTGCCGTGCTGACCCATTGTTACGCAAGTTATATAACTCGCATTTTGCCTTTTGCTTAAGCGAGACAAAACAACACTGCTGTGTTTCTTCTTCTCACATTTGTCGAAATGTCAAAAGATAAAACACGTACAGTATATATAAATGTAAAGGTTACATTTTTTCGTCTGAGGTTCTATACGTTTCCTTTAAATAAAAAAATGATTATCAGCGCTAAGAGTGTAATAATTAACACCATCTTGTGATTCAATGAGTTGTCACAATTCAGGGGGTGTTGATTCCGTAAACAATCAATTTGGTTGTTTTGCATTCTGGTGAATGTAGTGCCCATAGTGGTTGCAGAAGTCAGGTACACCGATTACATACTGAATACAAAAATCAAATATAATATATCCTCACACCATACGATTCGCTGTGTTTATCATGAATGTAAGAGTAAAATTTAATCGATAAATCGAAGCACCGTTGCATGTCTAAGGAATATGATTGTGAATAATCGCTGCCTTTCACACGTGCATTTAGGTTTATTAAAAAAAAATCAACGCTCATTTGAATGCTGTGCTGTACCTATTGAAGATGATGGTACTAAGCCGATGGTATACAGTCCACATTTCTATACCAGGCACCAGTACCACAACGTATGACAAAAACGGGCATTTATTTCATACCAGAGGGAGAATGGGCTGAGCTGACCACTCACTAGGAATTGAACATAAACGTACCGATTGTGAGTTGGGCAGCAATGGGTCACACCACCACCTAGACATAATAGCGGCATTAAATTTATGTATGACGTATTTTATGAGGTATTCGAGCTCGTTTGGGTATTTTATTTTAATCATTTTATCTTACAATGTTACAGTACATGAAGTAACGTCATCTTAGCAGGCGGGGCCTTAAATTAAAACATTTTCATTTCATTTCACAGTTTCAATTTCGTGCAAAAAAAATAATTTCAGAACGATCGGTATATCACTTTAGCTCACCTTGCACACATTTAAAGCCCCCCCTTCCATCTACTCAAATGGGTATAGGGTTTGTATAACATGTACTGAACTACCCAAATGAGCCAAGGACAATCAAGAAGAACTTGTGTACAACGACTGCAGTATTTCACCCACAATTACCCAAATTTAATTTTGGAACGTTGCTATATCCAGAGCTCTAATTTGATGAAAGTGAGCGCCAAAGAAAAAGTTAGTACATTAAATAGTAAACTCAACACTCGGGAAGTGTGGGTTTATGGAGTTCAACGCTTGCAAGGGCATGTCCTCTTCTTGCAAGGAAAAGAGCCAAAGCCTAATTTTGTTTAATGATTACACTGGGAGGCTGGCAGTCGAAAAGAACCGGGGCTAGAACACATTTTATTCAGCGTCAACTGCAACCACAACAAAACGCAACGGTGGTCATCCTTTGGAGGGACTGACCATGTCCTGGAAATGTGGAGTTCCACCGCTGCCTGATGGCCACCAAAGGTGATCAGTGCCGCTCCACTGCTGGATTGAGCAGGGAGATACTCTGCCTTCAACTGATCTCATTTTCACAGTGGTCATCCACTTGGGTGTATTCTGTTCTCTGGCGAAATAATAAAATGTATATATTTTTTAAATCATCTGCTGGATGAAAGTCTCTCCATGCTGTGGAGATTCGTTGACCATACATCACCACACTGGTTAGTCCGGGTTGGTGAAGGGAAACGGGGTCACAGGACTAGATCAGATGCTCGATCATCCAATTTTAGCAATGGACAGGAATTAAACTCGGGCTGCCAGGTACAAAGTGTTGTGAACTATCCACTGCGTGAGCGTTTCAGCCCCTGAAGCTAAGAGTTATGATTATTCTACGTTACATTATGGGCCACGCAACAATGGGTAAGGTAACATATCTTTTGTTCGGCAATCTATTCATTGGCCACACTTGTATTCCATGGTGTAAATGGTCAGTGCACTGCACTTACAATCCAGAGGTCGCCAGCTCAAACTTCCAGCGCCGCAGTTGAAACAGTCGGCAAGTTTATTAAGTCCACCCCCCACCCCGCCCCCCTTCTGTCCACCCAGCAGTATAAATGACTTTTACCACAGTTAGGTCGATGTCTGGCCAGCGTGGAAGAGTAGGCCAAATACCCAC